ACCCACCCTTAACTCTCTGCAATACACTAAACCGAGCTTTGAGAGCTAATCATTTCCAGAGCCAGAGCTATCTGAAAAACTGTGCCAGCAGCCTTTCAATACATTTTGCTCCCTTAAAAATGTCTTCAATCCCCTTCATTAGGTCTGTAATACACAGAGCTACACTGCAGCAGCCACAAGTGCTGTGATGTTATGTACAAACGTGTTTAATTTAGTGTCATTAATGACTCCATGTTGTTGGCAATGTCCACAAGTGCACAGTTGACTAATAAAAATCGACATGTGCATCATGCCATCATTTGGGACATGTACGGGCACTGAACCCTCAGTGCTGTCTTGCAGAGGAGAACACTGAAAGGTTAAATGCAGCGTGAGTGCATCTGAATGCGTAGTTAAAACTCAGATACCAAATAATAAACACATCTTTTTTTATACTTGAAATGACTCAGTAAGTGCATTAACTAATATCACATGCGTTCAGGGAACAGCTGCAGTGAGCAGCTTCTCTGAACTGCAAGCATGTGAGGACAACTTTGTTTTGCTTGGCTGATGGTCACAACGTTTTCTGGCATCTGGATCATCTGAAAGACAAATGGGTGTGATGGAATCGCTTGATAGAATAACTGGTCTGGTTTTGATGGGCTACCAGCTAAGCATCTGTCCGACTGCCAGAGAGTTTACACTATTAATCATCTGGGATATTAACAAGTTTGTTTTATTGTCTCTTGATTCACTTTTTTGGAGAAATTAATGAGCTAGATTATGTATTAGTCCGAGTGTAATAATCGGGGGTCTGCAGACTTTTATTCAGGGGTCATCTGCATTGATAATTGTGGACTTCTGTCCCCTGTCGTCATTCTCAGGATTCAGAATCTGGCATGCTCCTCTGAGATCCTGGAAAAGAAACAATAAGGACAGTAAATCCATGTCCTGACATGAATCTGTTATCTTTTAATTTGACTTATCTTTTAGTCATGCTGATATTAACTGAAAACACCCCTCGACTTTCTTACTCATGAGCCACTCTGACTTTTCTCACACAGGTGCAGTTATAGTCAACTACTTCAACATGAATGATTTTCAGGTTTTTAAACAGATATCAAACATGACTGCTGAACATATTCTACAGCAGCTTAAATTTCAGTTTCCATCATAGAGCCATCTTATTGCTTCCAAATTCATCCCTCAGCGTGACACTGGCTAAAACACACAGCTCCAGCTCCAAAGATGAAGCAGAAGGAGTCTTGCAGTGGATGGAAGAGTAATGACAGAAGCCAGATCTAAACATCATAAGGTCAGTCTGGGATAATAGACAACAATGCACCTGTCAAGAACCTTGAAAACTGCACAAATGCACTGAGGACAACTGCTGTATTTATTGGCAAAGCGTCATCACAGCACATTTTGTTGTTATCTAGTTGTTCTTTTTCAATATACTGCACTTTACTTTGTAAATTGATAAATGAAAACCACTCATGGCAGAATTTAGGATAAAGCATGGCAGGTTTAGTCTCAGTAGTTCTGCATCAAGCCTTGTGTGGTAATCACTGCCTGTTATTATACTACCACTGTGTGATCATAGGTCATCACTGAGGGTCAATAGTGCTGCTTTAAAACAGGGCACGAACTCTGACAGTATCACTGAGCAGTGCTGTAAAAGGCTGACATCTAGTGGCGGTAGGGTCCAATTACATTATAAATTGATAAATTCAGACAAAACTTAATAGTTTAGAAAGACGGTTACAATCTAATAAAATACCATTTTATCAAACAGATACACTTATAGTAAGAATATTGACTTTAAGTTGGTATTAGGCAGCCTAACGTATAACTGTTTTTAAGTGTTATAAGAGTGAAGGGGTCAAGGATTAATTTCTGAAGATCATGACCAGAACAGGCCTGACACAAACATTAGTCCTGAAGTTAAACCTAATGAAAATACTTATTCACAACTGCTCTATAGTTATTAACAGTACAGTGATGTTTTCATTACACTCCATTCTGGCAGATGACTACCTGGAACAGTTTATACTTGCTAGATATACTAAAATAAACTACACTCCTAGTGCTAATAATAACATATGCACAGGTGCTATGTTGAAGTCTGCTCCCCCTTCTAGATGGAGTTTCCCCATTTGCATTTACACCTCTCCGCCCACATGATGGTTTGGGGGAAACACGTCTCTACGCGACATTAACTCGTGTACAAGTGTCTGTGAGTTTGTTATCCAATGAAAGGTTTAAATACAATCAGTCAGAAAGTACATGAGATTTATTGTTTTAGTTAAATTTTTTACACAATTGAAGATATAAGCAGATATGGCTCCCAGCTACAGTTGCAAGTCATAATTTGTTTGAAAGAAAAAGAAGAAAGCAAGTAAGAATTTCTAGCTCATGGTCGACAATGAACAGCCACGTTATACTGTATGTGCAACTACATTAATGTATGTTGCCTTAAAGAGCAGTGGACATCATGTTCAGGTCCTCTGCTGGACCGGCGGTGGACAAGTCTGCCGAGAGTGCTAAACACAATCACCAGTATCAGGAGCATGGTGCCCACGACAGGTCACGCTCAGAGTTTGACTGGAGGCTTATTGCAAATCTCAGAGAAAGATACAGTTGTCACATTTATTCATTTTTAGGTGAAAAGGGGAGAAGGGAGCTGAAGCCTTTGGAAACAACTCTCAAAGTCTCTAGATTTGAACATCACTGAAATATCCGTGGGTGGATCTGAAACATGCTCTGTGTGCAAAACAGTCTAAAAATATCTCTGAACTTTATGTGATCTGAAGGAAGACATGGTAAAATATTCCAAAAGAAAGACGCTTGGCTGTTAAAAATACTGTTTATGAGTCAAAGGGGCGCACGTGCCCAACCTTTTACACATTCCACACTCAGTTAAACCTTTCCAGTGAACTAACATTTTAAGAAAGGTCCATCTTTCATGTGTGTAAGTTGTTATATTTAGTTTTTTTCCACATCAAAAAGCAACAACATTTGTAATTTAGAACTTTTGAATGCAACTTTGATTGACCACATGTGAATAAAATAAAATCCTCCTGCTCCTATGTTGGTTGTGGAACATCTTTCTATACATTAAGTAAAATTTGTTGAATTGTTTAAGCATTGATTTGCTTTATCTGGTGATGTCCTTTAATAAAAGCTATGAGGAGTTTGTGGTAATGTTGTGTAGTTGAGCCTTGGTGTTGGTGTATTCAATTTAAATGTTTTGTCATAACAAACTAGATACAAAAGAATTTGCTTTATCCATCTCATCATATCTATGATATCATGTTTTCCTTCTGGGTAACATTTCCAGCGACATTACTTTGAAGTTCAGTTTGACAAGCAACCTCGAGTCCTAGATGTCAGACTTTCTCACAATCACACGAACCCACCCTTGTGGAAAACTTTAGAATTTTTTTTTTTTACATTTGATTTTAAATTTGACAAAACACTGATCATAATATATTGTTCAGTGTGATCGCTGAGATGCAAAGCATGGTTGTGAAAGAGTGAGATATATTGTATTAGAGATGCGAAGCAAAGTGGACAAAATGTGTAAAAACAGAAAAATAGAAGCTTGTGTCTTCTGAAAGCTTCCTGTTGAAGATGGGCGAGAGGCAATTCTTTGTTATTGTCAGTTCTCTCCAGCAACCCAGTATATTCAAGCAGGGATTGGAAGTAGATTATATCATCACAAGTGTAAAAGCTGCACATACCACAAGAAGTCGCGCCAATCCTCAAATTAGCTGCAATGATCTTGTGTAAAATGCATTGTTTTACAGCTGCCTGTTTTGATAGCATCGATAGCCAGACTAATGAATGGTGAACCATAATAGAAGCTGTGCATGATGGGTGTGGACGGTCATGTGTGTTTTCATGAGATGTTGACATCAAGGCTGCAAATATAGAAAAATAAGACTAAATCTAATGGTGGATGCACAAAGACATGTTTTGAATGGCACATGAATGGGGTTAGAAAATTAAGATCAGGCGGTGCAGGGTGCACCGGAGCTCATCTGTCTGCAGGTCACTTAATGTGCAGTTGAGAAACTTGTAAACAGTCAGGGAATTTAGCTGCGGATCTCTTCATCCTCATCATAGGATTTGGGTTTATTTGTGTACTTTTTGACTTTCATCTGCAATTTGTATGTAGAAGTTACCAAAACATATTTTCCACTGCAGATGGAAAAAAGAAGGTCAAACTAACCTGAAACAGACAAAGCAAATGTCTGTCACATGCACAAGCCAAAAGGTCATGCATAAATAGTCTGACTTACATGTACTTACGTACATTGGCTGCATTCATGGTGAACACCCAACCATTTCATGTGTGTTTTTCAGAAGGAAAACACAATTTATCTCATTACGGGAAAAAGGGTTATATCCCCTTTTCATTTTATCACACTGAAACCCTGTTCTGTGTATACAGTATATAGTGTTTTTCTTTTTTTTTAAACTGACATTTTCAAGGTACAATATGTGTCTAATTTGAAAATGTCAAAATTCAGATACAGAAAACAGGAAGTTAAATATTAGGTACTCCCTGTTTTATCACACATTTAGTTCACTGATAAATAATCGAGCAACATTTCTTATCTTATAGATTTAAATAAAACCTGAAAATGACTCTGTTTTATTTGGTCTATAGTTTGTTGAGGTTTTTTTTTATATAATTGTGATATTTTGTATGTATTTATTGAGTTTTATGTTTATGTTTATGGTAAATGGTCCACTTAAGTGCTGTTTCTTGACATTATATATATAAAGCACAGTTAAGTGAATTGTGTCTAAACATTAAACTGTATAAACCACTCTTACCCGAGTCCCTGCAAAACCTGTATGATGATATATTTTGAATTGTTGTTAATTAAATAATATAAATGTGTGTGTTTGTTATATAATATGTGGATGTCATCATAGCCATACTAGAGATAATCCGTTTTACAATAAACGTAACTTTATTGACAGTAAAAAGTTTTGAGAATATCGAGGGGCACGCATTTGTAACTGCAAGAACATCTCAGAAAGGAACATGACTTTTTTTTTAAATAATGAGGCAGTTGTACATCTTTAACTTTGAGGTAAAGTGTTTTGTCATGTTACATCATTCACAAAATATCATAGAACATTGAAAAGTCCACACGAGGAGACAGAAACCCATGCCTCATTTTCACTTCTTGAAATTACTTCACATTTCAAAAATAATTCACGGTTCAGGTAAAAGCAGAAAAATGACAAGCACACATGCTATATTCCATTCACACACACGTCTCTACTTATCAAACCAAGTGCAGTTTTAGATTTTTTTTTCTTCAACGGTTTCAAGTACGTCTTTGCCTGCGATTAAAGGAAATCAAGTTAAACTATGAAGCAGCAAACTCCACAACAACAAGTAAGAATACTGAGTTTGGTCTCATTCGTGTTTCCAATATTAACATTATCAGATAACTCACCATACTGTAGCAATAAGGTATTTGGGTGCTATAAAGAAGCAGGAGGTAACATTTCATGGACTTGAGGAATATGCTGGATAAGATTTGGAATATAGCTGATTAAATACAACAAGGCTGAAACAAACAACACTAAATAGATAATCACAAGTGATAACTCAACAGATCCAAACTGATTTGTTCATTCATTTTTAAATCATTTGCTAAATCACTTACTTGATGGAGATTGATTTAAAACCTTCAGCCTCGACCGCTGAGAGCAAAACCGCAAAAGAATTCTTCTAGTTTAAACTGATTTGATTTAGTAGTCTCACATTGCAGCAAACTCGAGTGGAGACCTCACGGAACCAGTGCAATGTCGTGGGACTCTGTAGAAGGCCAGCTCCGTTAAAAACACACTGGCGTTGCAAATTACGTGATCAGTTTTTGTGAGTGTGGTGCGATTTCTCAGTGCAGTAGAAACAATCACAGAACAAAACATTGTAAAGCCGTCAAAGTGCTTTCGGCGAAGATGCTCATATATAAGCAGGGAACCTATAAGTGCAATCCTGTGTAGGTAGAGCACCCCAGGTCGTCTCAGTCAGGCTGTACACTACATGGCTCATGGTCTGATCTGCACCAGTTTTCTGAGGCTCACTTTAACATCCAAAAAACACCTATTTTACATCTGAGCCCTGAACGCCTCTTTTCACCCTGCAGATGATTTTCAAGTTTACTTCCTCTCATGATTTTCCTTTGTCCTGATAGTCTTCTCACCGTGCAGCTGTACAATATCTACTTCTGAGGTGACTTCACACACCGTTAAACCGTGCTGTAAACAATATGTATTCCTACAGCAGCGTACTAGTGTAGGAGTTAAGGCAATCCTTTTCTGTGCTTCAATGACAAACGCTCCTCCAAAACCCAGAAGCACAAAGCTCTTCAGTGCATATTAAGCTTACCTGACACCCGAGACAAAATACCCTCCTCAAACAGAAAAAACAAAGCTCCTGGTGCATACTAAGTATACCAAATATAATTCTTGGAATTTACATGCCATGCTTTTCTTAAATGCCTCTGTGCATGACCTTTTAAAAGTGCTAACTATATCACTTCGGAAAAGATGGCTAGTCAAAATTTAAGAGCACCTACCCCACCACCCCAGTTTTTTAAGAGGTAATCCCCCAAGAAGGCACTTCTGAAGCAAAACCAGTAGTTTTGCTGGATGATTTGATATGGGAGTGCATTCAATCATAGCATGTAATTAGCCCCCTCCTAAACTTTAAATGGTGCGCTGAAAAGATTCTTCACTTGCGTCTACTTTCTAGTTTCATAAATACTCTCAAAATTAAAACCAAAACTTTTTTACTTACACTCGGGATTTAAAGCAACTGATCTGGTGCAGAACAAACGTGAGCCCACAACTTTAGAAAGCAGTAGCTGCCTCTCTGCCTTCCTGCCACACGAGCCCCCATCCCCTCAGCCCACCTGGTGCTCTCCACGGCTGATGTGAGACGAGAACTCGTAGCGGTCCTGGCTGAGGTGGCCGCAGATGTTGCACTCGAAGGGCTGACGGAAGCCGTGACAACCCATGTGGATGGTGAACATGACATGGTCCAGGAAGAGGATGCGACAGTGCTGGCAGTGGAAGGCGCGCACAGGCCTGCCGTCCCTGTCTAGCACAGTCTCCCTGGAAGAAAGGGGTGAGCCAGGGCTCCTCTTTACTACGGTGGAGGGCACAGGACATGCTCTCTCCCACTCTGGGTTCAAGTATTTGGCCTGGCTGGGGCTGGAAGTGGGATGGCTGCGGGGCAGTGCTGGGGTTTGATAGTGGAGGTGGTGGTTGTTGGAGGTACTTGTTGGGGCTGTAGCCCTTGTGCTCTGCTCCTCTGCTGTGCTCTCTGTGTCTGTAGAGTCGGGACAGCCATTGGGTGAGGTGGTATGGCTATGCACTGAGGGTTTGTCAACACGGCCTTCGCCTGCCTCCCGCCCAGGCAGCCCGAGAGACATCGCAGCCAGTCCACCTCCGCCATGGGCTCGGGGGCCCTGAGGAGTCACGTTGCTGTTAATGGAGCCCATAACTGTGCGGAGCTCCGACAGAAAGGCAGGATGGAGCTGAGACAGAGTAGGCGACCCATGGTTGTCACTTTTAGCCCTGGCGCCTTGAAGGCGTGAATCAGCCAGCCCAGCAGGCTGAGAGCTCATGAAGTCCCCGTCTTTCTCAGAGCCAGAGGACAATTCATAAGGTGCTTCAGGTATATCAAGGTGCATGTGCTTTTCACCTGTGAAAAGCACATAAACAATAAGATAAACAATGATTGAGATAGAGACTCCTCTGAAAACAAGCAAGTCCAGTTGCCTACAATTTGTAAATCTTCTGAAAAACTGACTTCATCTGCACCGTCTGGCCCACAGGCAACATGACCTCAGTCTCCTGACACTGGCAAAAGCATCTTGACATTGACCAGCATCTTATTATCTATCTACTTTAAAAGTCTTAATCAAGCTGAAAATATATCATTATTACAACGTAATCGATACACAATAAAAAAAACAGGATGTCTGGTGGGTATATTCTTTAAAAACATCATATAATAATGAAAGAAAATCCCACCTAAAAACTTCTGTGGTGTTGACCTCTTGCGTTTGGTGATGCTAATAGCCAGTCTATCTACAATTTGGATTTTTTCACTGGATGGCTGGAGCACAGGTTTAGTGATAATCTCCATATTGACTGACTCTTCACCTGCAAACAGAAAATCCACAATCATTAGTATTCAAAATAAATCATTCCTTGTACTTGCAGGTATTTTGTGTTTCTATGTCAGTGAGCTTCATGTCAGTGTGAGATGTTACCCTGTGCTGACTGTGCGTTGACAGATGTCTGGTGGTCCAGGCTCCTCAGATAACTATGGCAGCGCTCTAGATGTTCCTCTAGTGTGTTCTGTTGTTTGTAGCTGCGGCTACAGAAGCTGCACTTGAAAGGTTTTCCCACCGTTGGAGATGAGACTGCAATACAAAGAAAAAAGAGCGCACTGATTTCTCCCAAGTTTGATAAAAGGGACAACATTTGACCCTAGATATTGGTTATTGTCATTGAATATGAGCAAATTCATGTCTAAAAGTAAAGTGTCACAGTATTGTTTTTTTCATGTTAATTGTTTACAGGAGGTTTTTTTCATAAAATAACTTATTATCAGGTAAGTTTGAATGATTGGATTTCCCCCATTGGTTTAGAATTCCTGACATTGTTGCATGTTTCTCACTGGTGACGGAAGAAACACGCCTTACTCTTCACCGCAACGCTCCATCTTACTAAGCTCTCGGAGAGATTGACGTCAATTCGCTGAAAACATATTGCAAGAATCTTTTCTTCGAAAATGAACCTGTGTAACCTGCTGAAATCCACAAGACCTATACTGTACTAATACTGTATGTGAGCACGTGTGTTCACAAATTAAAAGAACCAAACAGGATTTCCTGTCACAAAATCTTAAATGTCACATTTTGTGCTTTACATCATACATTCTGGTAAAGAAGCCCCATTTCCCCTGAGCTTCACAGAAAGGGGAAATGGACTGTTCTAATAAATCCCCTCTTCAACCTGTCACCTGTGTTTCACACATTATACATCATAACAACAAGAGATGATATTATTATCGAACAACTGCATCCACCAAGTTCAATAAGTGAGTGATTAAAAATCTCGTCTTCGAATATGTTCTGTGTAACTGCAGATAAATCTCGGGTTTACCTGCATGTGTGCGCAGGTGTCCAGCCAGTGCATCTCTCCGGCGACAAGCATAGTTACACGTGGGACATTTGAAAGGCTTCTCTCCTGAATGCAGCTTTATGTGACGCAGTAAGTTCCCCTTCTGGGTAAAGGAGGCCCCACATTGGTTACACTGGAACGGCCTCTCACCTATAAAGACATTTGTAAAAGAGGTAAGTAATTTAAAGTATTGCCTTTGTTTATCAGTATTCAGATTAATAGTGTATTTCATTCATATTATGTACTGCCCAGCTTTTTCCTCACCTGTGTGGCTTCGCTTGTGCACCATCAGCACGTTGGGTCCGATGCAGATCATCCCACAAACCTCACACTGGAGCTTCCCATTGGGGAGCCGGATAGGTCCTGGTGAAGCTGCATTGGGACTGGCCATCTCACCGTAAATGCTCGCTTTGTCTCTTCCAGCTCCAGTGAACTCTGTGTTTCCTTCCTCCATGGGGTCCCCTCTGTCATCTCCACCACTATCAACCCTCACAGCCTCTCTGTTCTCTGGCTGCGGAACATCTGGTGACTCATCGTCACTGCACAGCTCAACCTTGATGGAGTTTGCTGTGTGTGGAGACCCAATTGTTTTAATGAATTAATGAAAAGAATTCAGAACGGCCATGATGCAACAAAGGAATGATAACTGACCACTGAGGGAGCGGTGTGGCGAGGACTGCTGACTGGTAGGAGATTTCGCTGGAGGGCCCTGCAGTGCTCCATAAAAATCCTGTTCTGTTGATAACTCGCCTCCATTACCTGAAACACAAAAACATGTCCATGTAAGCGAAGTAAACATTAAGTCTGGAGACTGTGCACACAAACGTATAGTGGTTTATATGTAAACTTACCCTGTGCATATGAGCGCCCATTACAGTCATCAGCATTCATTCTCTCACCAGATGCCTGCAGAAACACAGTTTTAAATAAAGATATGAAATATTACTTTTCATAATCATCGTTATTAAAAGACAAAACTATAAATGTCATGTCTTGGATACTAACCATATAAAATATATTTAGCAGCTGTCCAGGAATAAGGACACAGATAGCTTTACCCTCTCAGTTCCAAGTGTCTAAGAATAAGTTCACTTCTAATTGAGGATTGAACTTGGATTGAGCCCTGCTATCTCTGTACCAGACTCTTCTGCACATGAATATGAGAAGCTCCACATTTATAGAGAGGTAATGGCCAAGAGTGTTGAAGGAGGAGTTACAACTTGAGGGGGTGGACAAAATAGCTGGAACACTTGACACTATGAAGCAATTCAGTGTCACACAAGCACCACAAAACTACAACTTTAATTTAAGCTTTGAGGAATCTCAACAAAAATATTAATCAGTATCAATATTTCGATATTAAAATATGATATTAAAATCACTTAGGCATTTAAAGAACGCAGATAGGTAAAAGATACAAAATATTACTATATACAGATTTGAATAAAACTCAGCTAGAAATGTATTTATAGAATATTACACCAGCCGAGGGGAATTTGTGTATGTGAAAAATCAGGAGTGCAGTTTTCTGATGTGATCTATGTTAAATACCTAGGCTGGGCAATAAAACAAATTCAAGCAATATCATTTTCATCAATGACAATTCAGCAAAGATTCTACATTGATAATGATACACTGCTTATGTTTTGTATAAACACATGAGGAGGTACAACACATGTGGTTTTAATGATTTACCTCAGACTTCTAAAATGTTTTACTGTTAATCAAGAGTTTATATATATATATATAATATATATAATCATATATTATGATGTAATGGCATATTGTAATATATATATATATATCATTGACGCAAGGATTGAAATGTTCATATCGATAAATAAAGGTTGTGTTTTTAAATTCTTCTCTGAGAGCAGAAAATGACAAACACAGCAAAACTGTATTTTGTCATTTTGTGTTGTGTTGTGTCTCCTCTCTGTGAATCCATAATTCATGAGCAATATATTGATATATTCTGGACTTTTGTGAGGAAAATTATGTTTGAACAATGTTTCTCTTTTAACTATATTTTAACACTTTCTTATAAAAAAGGCTTTTATCACGTGGTTTATTTCTGTTTCACCTTTGCTTTATTTAATTAAACTACATCCTCATGTTTTTAAGTTGTATTAGATCATTTGCCTGATGTAAAGCACTTTGTTGTTTGCATTAAGAAGTGCTATACAAATAGAGTTGTGATTATTCTTATAATCATGGTTTTTATTATTATTATTATTGATTATTGTTTCATGTCCCAGCCACAGGATGGACAGTAGATGATTGTTCAACAGCAGACAACAAAGTGAGGTGTGTACACCTGCTGAGCTGAGTTATAATATCCAGACATGTTGTGTGATGGTTTATTTAATCCCATGTTGAACATCATGCTGACTAAAGGAGAGTGAGGGGATCCAGCTGCGCGCTGCTGCAGCTTTTTGCACAAATGGATGACAACAGTGGACGCCAGTCTCACCAGGGCAGAAAAATAAAGAAATAGATGGAGGGAGACGCGCAGCAGCAGCACCGACCCTGTTGCATGACAACCCTTTCTGCCCGAGGTGGGCGAATGTGCAGAGACACACACATGCATCGACCGCACCAACTATCATGTTTCTCCGTGTAATCCGCGCCTACTTGTTCCGACCGCCCGTGGGACGCGCTCCGCTCCGGCACCGATCGGCGGCGGTGACATGTTGCACAGAGTTGCCGCTGCGTGTGCGATGAAACGCCGCTGTCACCCAGCAGCGTCTGACCGGCCTGCGCCTTTACAGTGTTTCTCATGAGCCGTTGCTATGGCACCCGACCACACGACAATTGGCATTCACCCCGACCGACTCCTCACAAACATGCCGCACTCCCACATCTAAACCGACGGATGGGTTTTACCGGCAGCCGCGGTGAAGTCCACCGACCTCCTCCTTACCTGGCGACCGATCGCTGTTCCCCCTTTTTAACTGTCTGGGTAGCTGTTTGTTTTCCCAGGCGACGACAGCATCTCCGGGATTTTTTTTTCTTTTTTCTTTACCTGGGAATCCCAAACAACTTCCGGGCCCATGCTGGGATACAGACCCAACAATGGTACAACAGAGCTCTGGATCAAGCGATTGTCGAAAGCATCGATGCATGTCAGCGCTGTTCTGCAGGTGGCCAACAAAACGAGGGATGTGGGGAAATCGATGTCATTAGATCAACTGGTGAACTCCACAGAAACCAGACTGCTGCGGATGGATGTCCACTTGGAGAGATTCTGGAATATAAACTGTCAGTAACCTGCAAAAATTATCCAGACGCTGTTTGTGATCAAGGCCTCTTCCGGATATGCTCGTGGAAAATAGAGAGGAGGGGTTATTTTACAATTTCTCCGTCTCTATGGCTGCAAACATACATTTATAACACAACTATTACACCTTTCACTGCTTCATTTTATTGTTCACAATCTGAATTGAAGGTATGTGTGTGTCTGTGGTGGTTCAGCTTTTAATTGCAAGAAATAAAGCAGACATTAAAACATAAGTCAATTTGTTGAGATGAAATAGTTTGTGGTGTTGTTACACGTATGGCGCCACAAGGTGGCAGCAAGCTCTTCCAAGTAACCATTCAGACAGCTGCTCAAAGGCTGTTAGACCAGAGGAAGTGTGTTTTCTGCACAAGTGATAATGTCAGCACTCTATAATTCTAACAAAATGATGACTGTAAAACAATGCAATCAAGAGTCTCACATCCCTTTTTCTTCTTGCAACTATTTAAATGAATGACGGGGCCTGTGGCGCTGGAGAAGGACCTCATAAGCCTTTTGGATCTTTATAAACGTCACCTCTGCCTCCTTGCTGGGGTTGTGGTCTGGATGCCACGTCTTGACCAGCTCCCTATAGCTTTGAGTTATCTCTGCAAGTGTGGCCTCTACCTCCAATGACAATACCTACAACATAGGTTTTAAATTAGGATCATGCCATAGCAACAGAAAATGCACACACTGTAGTATACACCTCAAACTTGATTCATTACTTATATTATAACCTTTTCAGAGATGTGTGGATGCTTACGTGCAGTGCCTCCTTTTCTTCCTCGGTGTACTCTTTGAGCAGAATTTCCAGCACCTTCCTCCAAGCCTCTTCATAGTACCCCCCTCCAGTGAGAGCACACAAGATGCGATATGGCATTAAAAGAACGTACTCCAGCGCACCTCTGAGCCAAGGCAGGAACCAGAAGATATCCAGCAGCGCTGCCACACAGTCGGACAGATAGTACAATGTGGCTGTGGTGTTATGGAAAATACAGTAACCCAATGGGGCAGAGAAGGCCAGCCAAGCTAGGCCGAGCTTGTAAAGTCGTGGAGCTGGGCAAAAGACAGAAAATCCGTTAGCAGACCTTAGAAATCCAAAAAGAAGCAATTAGATTTATGTCTAAAAGGAAACCAGAGGTTATCATCATATCATTATCACCTAGTTCCTCTTTTCTCTGCTGTGTTCCGGGGGGTTTGAATCTGCGGTTCTGAGCAGCAGCCACACTGGCAGCTAGGCTTATAGGCAAAGGTGACAAGCTGCTGCCATAGAATATTGAGGAAGTTACAATACAAGTAGTCAGAGTTTTTTGGAGGTCGGAGGTCTGTTGCCCAACAGTGGAAACCAGATGCACCCCTGCACCCACACACAAAGGCAGGACGATCAAGTAGAAGAAACTGAGGGAGTTGAGTCCTATCAGAGCCACGGTGCCAAAGTAGATCCCAACGCACACCTGACCAGCGAATCTGACGGGGCTTACAGGTGGAGGGACCACTACAGAGGGTCGTCTTCTTTCGCCGTTTGAATCTCGATTGGCCTCACTGATGTAAGCAGGGATACGTGTGACCTCTCTGACCCAGCCAAAGCCAAAGCCTCCCAGGGTCAGAATCCATAACAGAGCATGGCTGTCTCTTCCGAGGTATAAATGGTGAAGGCCTAAAGGTCCACCTAATGCCCACAGGGCATAGGCCACCATTACACTCTTCCCCATCCTGCAGCCAAATCAGGCTCTGTACAGCCGACTAATAGTCATCCTTGGTGAATACCTGCGATGGAGCAACACAAGAGTTTAGTCCCACTTCCATATTTAAATAATGTGAATATTAGTATGCAAGATTATTTATTACGG